GCAATTCAAGAATGCTTCCTAAATACTCCACTTACCAACAGTCTTATGAACAAGGAGGGCTCCAAGCCCCCATTATAAACAATCTGCTTGATGCAAGAGCTTTGATGGTCTGGCTTAAACTTCTTTCCGGTAATACATCCTAGGCAAAAGTTGAACAGACAAGAATTGCAGACATATTATATAGGCAACGAAATATCTCAATCAGACAAGCTTTAACCAGCTCTCTGATACACAGTAAAACCTGGCCTCCAGAATGGAAACTCTACCTTTTTGCGTGGAAGAAAGCGAATGGAAGAGTTTTCTCCCATAAAAATTGGCCTTGGAGTTTTGAAAACCTCTCTCTAGGGGGAATTAAAAGAGACGAAGTTATAGTTAAAAAGATAACTGAACTACTTAGAGAGGACCTAACATCTGGTGAAATTAATCAGTTACTGTTTTCAAACTCAGCACCAAACTGGATACTTCTTAAAGGAGTTGACAACAAGAAAAGAGATATCTTTTGGTGTCTTGCACATAGAGCTTTACCACTAGGTTACAGACTTCAACATATTTCTGCCCAGGAATCAGGCTCCTGCCCATGATATGAAAATGACTGACAAACAATTGAACATTTTGCAACAGATTGCAAACTGATCAATATAAGACGAAAACCAAGCATCTTATTCTCTTTGGAGAAAATCTTTATTGCAAAAAACTTCGGCGAGAGGAATCACCTTAATATAGCAATATGGATTCACATAATTACAATATATGAAATTTGGTATTGGTACACAAATACCAAATAGGGCAATGCAGATAATGTAGAAGTATCAATTCTCTCAATCATTAGTACTCGAATTTGAAAAGAAATTCAAGCTCTAAGTTTAAACTTCTATTTGGGTCCTGTAAATAAAAAAATTTGTAAATATCTTAGTAATGTTAATTAATATTTAATATATAAGAATTTAATAAAAAGCGCCACATGTGCCCCACATGCCACTTAGGCAATCTGGAATAGTCAAAAAAAAAAAATCTCTTAAATACAAATAGTATTACAAATATTTAATTACTAGAAAATCAACATATTAAATATTATATCTCAAAAAATTCATAATGGCTTAGATATTACTGGTAATAGTGAAGATATAGCTTTTAATACAAAGACTAGTAAAGATATTAACTTTGAGAACAATGCTATTGTTGATAGTGAAGAAGATATAAACTTTGATGTTGATAATAATGAGTATATTGGTTTTGCTTTCAATAATGATGATATAAGTTTCGCTTTTGATAATAATGAAAATACAAGTATTGTTGTGATAGTGTAAACTCTACTATTAATTCAAGTAATATAGACACTTTTGTTAACTATAGTAAGAGTGTTTCAAAATGAACTGGATAATGCAATCTATTGTGTAGGAATTTTTTTCTAAAGAAAAAAATAAAAATGATGTAGTCACTGCAATAGTTTGCAAAATTTGCAAGCAGAAATGAAAACCAGGCAACACAACTTTTGATTGCCTATTTAAGTAGTCTGCCCGAAGCTTTAGTGCTATACTAGGTGTTTTAATATAATTATATAATTATGCTTGATAGTATATATAAATAAATATATCTGCCTAAAAATTATATACTGCCTACCAAAATTTCAATCTTTACCATTCTCTAATCTATTAAATAGAATTTGTCTAATTATATATTCAATATATAAAACAGAAATAATCTACAATATAGGTTTGTTACAATTTATTATAATCATGATAATCATCACAAACCTTTGTTATCCAACTTTTTAAACATATCACAGCATGTGCTGAACCTGGAGCAAGTTTACTTCTAGTTTTTGTAATAGTATGAGCCACAATCAAAAATGCATATTTGCTTGAAACACTAGTTCCTTATATAGCCAGATAATTTTTTGCTATTTTACTAAGTATTGGAAAATCCTTCTTAAACTTATATTACTATTTAAGTAGATTTTCTTCTAGAGCAAGTGGAAGAGCCAAGTCAGTGTATTATTTTCTTGTTATAACAGTGATTTGAAAAATAAATGCTAATTCTTTTTTTTTTCTTGATTTCTTTCTCATATAATAGTAGATGTATTTGAAGGTATTTTTTTATAGCTTGATATACATTTATATAGCTTACTTATAGCAGCTGATCATGCTTTATATGTTATAAAAGTTTTTAAATTTAAGTATGGATTAAGCAAAGTGGGTAATATAGTTGATTCTTTAATAATGTTTCAGTACTCTTCTAGTTTGTGCATTATTGATTGTGCTATATAATATTCATTCACTTTATAGTCAAAAAGATATTTATCAAAATGATGCTGTAGCCCAATAAATACAAGACGAATGTTACTAATAGCTAGATAGGAACTAGTAAACAACAATAATGTTGTCTGGTATATTGGTTTATAAAGCTTTATCATTGTATTTACTTGCACCTACTCACTTTTATCAAGTCACAAATTTTCAAGCTGTTTTTTGTTCTTTGTAACTAAAAATTTTAATGCTTCTTTTATTCTATTAAACTTTTACAATATATATATATTTTTTTAAAAAATTCGGCAATATTGCCTCTACTTTATTAGGCTTGAAATATTATACTGAGAAATATTACAAAATTTTCAAAAAATGAGACTCTAAGATCAGGTCTTTACGATGCCTAAATTACAAGTATTAGCTTACCCAGCTCTTTGTAACTGAAGTCCAAATTACCCATGTGCGATCTGCTATAAGCAGAATTCTCCTCTATAATATTTACTCCTACACTTGAAGAAAATAAAACTTCACCAGAAGATTTCTGCTAGCCCATCAGGACTATCCTATTTTTTTTTTTTGCTTTTTTCATCTTTTTTCTTTTATGTTAGAATTCTGTTTAGGATTTTTTTTAGTTATGTTTATTTTTTTTTTTTTTTTTCTGTTTTTCTCTTTCTTTTCCTAG